ATTGTCATACATCTTCTGTTTGAATCTCAGATTGCTTTAGTATAGAGGACTAAATTGATGGTTGCAGCTATGAAGTCTAGAGAGCAAAACACCAACGTATTGTTGAAAAAGCGAAGACCAAAAGCTAGAAAACTTGTAGTGGTGTGGTATTTGTCTAGTCTGATAAATTTCAGCATTTCCTAACTGAAACAGGAGTAATAAAACATGCAATTAAATGGTCTAAAGAGAAGGGATCTTCCCTATAGTTGATGCTGCTTCGGGGTGGTTTGGTCCACAGTCTACCACCTTTGCGGTGTTTTTTGGGCAGCTTAAAAGAGGACCAAGAAAAACATGCATTTTAATAATAAAGAGAAGGGATTTCCCGAGGTTGGATGCTGTTTCAGAGTTGTTTTGTTCGTAGTTCGACCTCTTTTGACAGTCTGCGAACTTTGCGTTGCCCTCTGGGCAGCTTGAATATCAGTATCCATGATCACAAGTAATTATCCACGTCGCATTGCGGCAAGGCCACCGCCGCATGGAGGAAAAATGAGCGGAAAATATCGTGTTACGGATGAAGGGACGCATCCTTTAACACATCCTAGTAAGGCCTAGGAAAACAATGTTGTGTTTCCTGTTTCACTCTTGAGAAAAATAGGTTCGGTAGATAGGGATTAAATTTTTAAACTATTTTTTTAGACATTGGAAATGTCTAGTGATTGAACTTATTCAATATAGTTTAACTTACATCAAGACACTTATATTTTCAATGCCAATGTTGGAAAACGGATTGTACAACGTAACATCACTCATATTTTAGATCATGTAGCTAGAAACGACCGATTAGCTCGAAACACATGTACGAGTCTAGGGTTGGTAGCTTTTTCTAGGGTCCTCAGGAAACAGGATACACAACATTTTTTCCTAGGCCCCAAGCATATGAAAGGTGGTCATATCGGACTCTGACAATTATCGAATGTAGCATGATTGATATATTCATTATCTAGGGAGGTAGGCATACTGTAACGACTGCATTAGTCATACTCAAGTTGTCTATTATGCGTGATATTATGGTGATGGGTTGGGAAAAACAGGAGGACATTGTGAGAAGTTAATTTTGATCGAGTAGGATGGATAGGAACTCATAACAACTCATCATCAGTTACTGTGATGTAGGCAGTTAATCATTATGCATGATACATACATCTTTTCTTACAGTCTTAAAACATAGATTTAAAGACTTTTGTTTTACTACATTCTTACAATTAACTTTGGGGGGAGCTTTAGGGGCAGGCTGTATACTAAGTAAATTTGTCTGCTTTAGAAATTCATTCTAATTACCATAATGTGAAGATATTTAACAACACAGTCCCAAATGCATCAATATAAGAACTGAAGAGATTGAGGGCACTATAGCAAACATTTTCTGCAAAGTTTTTGCATTTTCTTGCACTTTCGCATGTTGCATGTTTTACCTGTTTAGCATGTTTTACAGGAGGTCATGTACTAGTATTTACATTTTTTTCAGTATCTCCCCATTCAAAAGGTAACCGTATATTTGATTAAAAATCAGTCCAAGCCGCAGTAGCTTTATGTTTGTTGGCCTTCGGGGAGGTTAATCACAGAATTACGGTTGTTGCTCCCGTTAATCTAAACGTCTTTGGCAAGAGGCGTCAGAGTACAGAAGTAAATTAAAGTGTCCGTCCGCGTTATTATCAAACAGCCAACAAACGTTGGAAACCTTCTCATTACGTGCACTGCTTGCTCAAATATAGGCATGTATGCTAGACTGTCCAGGCTTTTAATTGATTGGGTCTGTGTTATAATGGCTTTGAGCAGCTGCCTGTCTGAAAAATTGTCTGAAGAGAGGATTTTTAACTGGAGCATTTTATGAAACACTGCATTGACGTCAAAAACGTCAGGCGAGTGTAATCTCAGAAGTGTAATGATCTACATTTTCAATAATGGTTATCAAAGGAAGGCCTGTGAATTAAACCCATGTAGAGTAGGGTATGGAAGATTGTACAGAGAAATGTATGTTATAAGAGAAAGAGCAAGTGGTATTCATTGTACGCATTTTCCTAGGGAAAAATAAGGGATTGCGACATCCTGAGAGGCCATCGAACTTGATGAGCATCTTGAAAAGTAGGATACCCAAAACAGATATTGATCAGATATTTTCGGAACAAATCTGTTCTTAAAGTCACTTTACCTCCCGTAGCATAAAGGGCCTATAGACAAAAATGCTGTATTTGGACGCCACATCGTACTAAATGACTGATGAAGACAATAACAATAACCACATGCCTCGAGACAAACTGATGAACAAGAAGTTTCATATGTTCATGAGTCGTTAGAACATATCCCCGTGCTCTATCAATGGGACACAGTTGGGTACAGTGATGAAGCAGTGGTGAAGGCTGCCGTAATTGGCACTGTGAGTCTAATCGATGGTTCTCCATTAAGGAAATTTAGAGCCAAATTGAGAGCTAAATTTAGATAAAGCAGCTATTTCCGTGACTTGAAAACATCTCAAAGAGAGGTCATTGACCTTCTAAGTAAGCCTGAGCTGCTATGTTCTTGCTCATACAAATAACTAAGCACTGCTGTAAATAAATATAAAAATATTCAAGTTTTCATTTAACTTGAATATGAATGGCTAGCCCAAAAGCAAGGTAAATTGTGTTTGATATTTTTTCCTAGAAACAGTTATATCAATGACTGCTTAGATATTACAGTTACAAGATTCCAACGGCAATGGCAATTAGAATAGTCTATGTTTATTTTCTAGAAACATTTATGTCGAAATCATGGAGTAAATGTTCAAACGCCCACGGCATACAGGCACACGTCACAATCTTTATCAGAGAAAACTGCGTGGGATAATGGAGTAATGAAATCAATGTATTATTTCTAAGTACTTTCATCTTTACAGGTTATTAAACATTTATCTGGAAGAATATGTCATTTAACGACAATTTACGTACAGGTTATTAGGTATAAACCTTCCCTTGGGCTTTTTCATAGAAACAGAATATGTTACACAAGAAAGTACAAGTTATTCGGTACGCGTCTAACTATAAGCATTGCCATGAAGGAACAGTTGCATTTTGAGAAAATAGAAAAACAGAAAAGAGCCTATGAACATAAGGTGATTTAGATATATATTTTTTTCTTTTCAAATGTTCGTTTCTATAATTATTCTGTTCAGAAACTGCAGAAGAATATCATTGAGCTGTGTCTTGTTGACAACATGTATCTCCACTGCTTTAAATTGATAGTTTCGCCATTTTTGTAATTGTGGTTACCAATACCGTATAGCTAAATGGCACAGTGGAAGAAGATGAATAAACTTTGAATTCAGATGCAGCTGCAAAACACAGGAGAAGAAAGATACACGTGACTTGCATCTCAGGTGTTCTGATCGAGGAACGATAATATGAGGTGAAAACTAATCTCAGATTTTCTTCTGATCTTCCAAAACCCTTTATCTCCTGCATGCCGACGTGGGTTTACCTCTTCCTCTAAGCTCTTGTGAATGAGACATACCGAGGCGCGAGCACCTCCACGATTTATCCTGAAGATAAAAGGACAACGTGCTTCCAGGTCATCCCAGCGTTAATGACCGTGGACTTAGTCTTCCGGAATCACAGCTGAGGCCCCACTGATCTTTGTAAGGTCAAGTTCAGAATTCAAATGCAGATGAACTTTTCACTAATCTGTCCTCGGGTCTTCTTCGCTGGAGTTAAACTTTTGTGCTGCAACAAACCTGAGTCAGCTTCCAGATCGTCCCTATGCGGTAGAGACTGCCATTCTCGTATAGGACTGTTTAGTTATATATATAAATAGCTGTGGGGCTGATATAGACTGTGTTGTGGTGCCCTGCCGAAGACCACTTCGTCTATATGTAGTCACATGTGTCTTGCAGCTGTCCTACTGTCTATCCTGGCACGGTCAAGAAAGCAGTGCGGTGTTGTAGGGAAGGCATAAAGACACCAAAAGCATCCAAAATGCATTGTTGAGTCACAACATTTCTAACTTAACATTTTTGACACCTCCCTCTCTCTCATGGGATAACAGTCCTACCACCTTCCAAAAAACGACGACCCAACTAAAAGACCAGATTGCACCTCTGACGTCCAACTGTTGACTGGGACTCTACGATTATATCTCCCATTTATCTCTTGTTCACTTGTCACACCTGATAATCAAATTAACAGTCTTGATCCGCCACCTGCCAACAAGCTTACAGATTTTCACACAAAAAGCGATGTCAAACTGAACACATCAGTATTCACAGGACGATGCGAATAGTTTCAATTCGTTTTCATCAAGGTTTTTCACTCAGTGTGGAGTGTACTGGTTTGTTACTCCACACAGGGAGTTCTTGTATACTGTTATTCACTAGTTGCCAGGGCTCGCCCTATGAAATTGCCTTCAATCACCAAGCGTGTCTTTTGGTGACTACAAGGAGGTATGAAATTGGCAAGCCTGTATCAAATCAGCAAGGCAGTATCAAACTGGCAAGACAGTATCAACACCGTGGTATCCAATTAGCAAGGAAGTATAAAATCGGCAAGGCAGTATCCAATGCGCCACCAAAGTTTGGCGGGCGAAAAACAGGAGTAAAAGAAATAAAGCTCGATAAAAATATATACAAACATGTCTCTGATAAACCGAGGTCTTGATCCCTGCTTGCTTAATCTTGGCTGTATGTCTTCATATAACAGCATCAAAACAACTACATCAAGCCATTCCCAGTAGACATGCTTGAACCCACGCCTGGTTTACAGGTTACTGACCTTTGGCAGATCTTTTTTAACGAAAGCAGCTTCCGCTGCATGCCTGTGAAGCTTCTTCTTCTTCTTCAATCTTCCTTTGCGGAGGTGTAGTTTTGTCTCCAGTACAGTCTGTCAGTCATTGAAGCTGGTATGTTAGATATATTGAACGAAACGCTTTGATATGTTTTTTTATTCAGATTCAAGGGAGTGAGCTTCCGTTTGGTGGCGCAAATGTAACTGGAAATGATAAAGATCCCCATCATTGAGACAGTGAACGCTCTGCAAGGTAAGTTTACTTCAACTGCAGTCTGTGTGATTTGGTTCTCGAGATGTGTATCTTCTTCAACACACTCTCCAGATCTCCAAATCAACTGCAAGTACTGTTATCATTATCATGCTCGTGGTATCGCTAGCCAGTGTTTATAAGCATCATTTTGTGTGATTTGGTTATCGAGATGTGATCTTAATCTTCAACACATGGTCAAACAGTCCCCAATCAGCTGCAAATACGGTTCAAACTGCTATAAATTTGATACTTTATTGAGATAGCAATTGATCTGGTGTTCTTATAACATACTGTTGCTTTGAAAAATATTTTACCTAAAATTTGTATCGTACTTGTGGTATTGCTAGCCAACTAGCGGTCGTTAGCACCATTTTGTGCCCGGCCACGTTGAGAAGCTGCACGTGTACGCGGCTAATGTCCTAGATGCTACTACTGTACTTTACTCAGTCCCGATTTTACAGATGTATAATCTCTGATGCGCGGCCCAGTCCGCCAATTATTGCCTACAATCTGCACTGACACCAGACACGGCGCTTCATTTTTGTGATCCATTAGGTGAATGTTCAAATGTCACTTTGGTGTCCAAGCCATTAGTCCTGAGCACCTTCCACTATCTGCTATGGCTTTGAACGGGGATTTACAAAAATTGAAGACAAACCTAGATAGCATCTCTGGTATGTTCTGGTTTAGTATTTAACTAACGGTATGTTTTACATTGTTTAAAGCTGTAGTCGGACAACGTTCAATCGTACAGGTCTCACTGCTAGTTAGCAATGCGAAAAGACTAGGAGACTTGACCATCGGGTAATTTCCATAATTTTCAGTTCCTAGTGAATTCTTTCATCAGTGACAACTTTGGAAGGATAAGGATACTAACCTCCAAATTTTCGATGGCTATCAGTCCATCTTGTTCACGGAGTGGCCTAATCTCGCGAGAG